TCATTGTAGTTGTCTGCAGTTCAACTAGGAAATACTGGGCATGATCCATTGCTGTTTACAAATACTGAGTCAAAGAATGTGTTAAAGAGGTTCTTTTTATCATAGCAATAACAATAGCATTTGGACTTATATACCGCTTCACAGTGCTTTAAAGCCCTCTCTAAGCAGTTTGCAATGTCAGCCTATTGCCCCCAACAATCTGGATCCTCATTTTACCCACCTCGGAAGGATGGAAGGCTGAGTCAACCTTGAGCTGGTGAGATTTGAACCGTCAAATTGCAGGCAGCCATCAGGCAGCAGAAGTAGCCTGCAGTGCTGCACTCTAACCACTGCGCCACTGTGGCTCATTATGTATATTTGAACCTAGTCATTTCTGGCTTTTTTTTTTTTTTTTTGCAAATCCACCAAGCATGTTAAATGATCCTTCTACATACTGGTGGATCAGCACAACATTATATTGATTGCAAAGTTGGAGACATTCTATTGAGTTAATAAAAAGTAAACCAGTTGTTGATTATGTCTCACAAACATTTTTTTTTTCAAAACTACAACTTAAACTGAAGAAAATAAGCCAAATCTTCAGGCCAACAAGATACAGCAATTTCCATATAATTCCATATAATTACTGAAGGAAAAGGAAGGAACGGATTACACTTGATAAACAGGGGATCTGATGAACTCTGGAGGGAAATGTGTAGAGCAGTGATGGCTAACCTTTTCAGCTTGGTGTGTCAAAAATCGGGAAAAAGTGTAGCCTTCCTCGGGTCGTGTGTCACTTCAAGAAATATCAATAATTTGGTTTATGATGGACTGGGCTGGGGTGATCACACAGGGCTGTGAAACTCGTCTCCCTGGTCTCAGGGCTGTAGGTGCAGGATGTGGGGATCGGAAGGCCACCTTACAGGGCTGTGAACCTCATGGATCTCCTTTCCTCCTGTAGCATTCCTGAGGTAATGAAACTGACAAACCTCAGTTTATGGCGGTTAAAACTGGTTCTCTGCTGCAGAGATCTTGTGGCAGCGGTGACACCACGCCTCCACGCAACAAGCAGGGAGCAGGGATTGGAGCAGAGCACAGGCAGCCTCTAAATGTGAAGGTTTTCCCCACACCAACAGGCGTGTCAGTCAAAGTGCCTTGGCGTGTCACGAGTGACACGCGTGTCATAGGTTAGCCATCACTGGTGTAGATTCATAAGAAAGCAACAAACCAAAATGTCCCCAAATATACAAAGTAGAATGTGCTGATACATTGAAATCAGGAGAAAAAAAAGACAATGAATAGGAAAACGGGGAAAATGCCCACCTAAACACAGAGTGCCAGGGAAGAGTAAGAAAAGACAAAGCTTTATATTTATAATGCAAGTAACCCAAAAAGGAAAGGCAGGAGATTAAAGAAAAGGATTAAGATTAAGAAAATATCAAAGGAATTTTTATGTAAAGATAAATACAATAGAAGACAAAGAAAGCAAAGAACTACTGGGGAAAATAGTTATAAAGATGTGATAGTGAGAATATACAGAAGAATAGTGAAGAACGTGAAATTGCAGATATGTATGCAGATTTGATCCCTCAAATAACGCTAGGCATTCTTGTACGTGGAATGAAACTTCAAGCAGAGATGTTTGCGGCAAACAAATAATTGCAATAAATAAATCAACAATCATCATCCCAAGAAAATATTCCTAGCATCAACTTGCAGGAGTTGAGAAAATATCAGCTTAGGTGCTTTTTCAAAAGGCAACTAGACTTCCTTGTTTTTTTTTCCTTGAAGAGGTTTTGCTTCTCATCTAAGAAATGTCTTCATTCTTTAGATACTCTACTTAGTGTCAAGGATGCAGCTGTAGAGGTGGTCAACAGTATTAAGTATCCGGGGGTGCAGATAACTAACAATCTGAATTGGTCTCTCTGTTCGTCATCCTTAGTGAAGCATGCAAACCAAACATCTGCATTTCCTGCATCAGATGAGGAGAGCACCTCTTTCTCTTTCTGTCCTGGCCACTTTTTACAGAGGCACAATTGAGACCATTTTCACAAACTGCATCCCTGTTTGGTGGAAGCAGTACTTCAAATAGAAAGTCCATACAGAGAGTGATGAGGACAGTGGAGAAGATTATAGGAAGCTCACTTCCTGTTATTCGGGGTAGTGCTTATAAGCACTATGTGATTAGAGCTCAAAGCATTGTTAGAGACCCCACACACCCACTTTACAGTCTGTTTCTGTTGATCCCCCCTGGGAGGAGGGTTCAAAGTATTTCTAACAGAACTACCAGATTCTGTAACAGCTTTGTTCCCTGTGTCATCCATCTGGTAAACTCACAAGATTTGGTTTTATCGCCATATACATCTGAACTATACTGTGTTGTTCCTATGTGTCATATAATATATGTGAGTATATGTATAATTTGCTATTTATTTATCTTGTCATGTTTATGTATTGTATATTGGAGGTGGTGACCCTTTGAGATTTGCATACAATGAAATTTTATTTTTAAGTATGCTGATTAGTGTATATTCAAAGTGACAATAAAGTGATTATTCTATTCTGTTCCATTCTGTTCCGTTCCATTCCATTCTATTCTTAATTCTATTTCTGACTCTATTCCTGGTTCTGTTCTGTTCTATTCTGTTCTGTTCCTGATTCTATTTGTGATTCTGTTGTGCTGTTCTGTTCTGTTCTGTTCTGTTGTTCTGTTCTATTCTATTTGATTCGATTCTATTTGATTCAATTCTGTTTGATTCGACTCTACTCTACTCCTATTCTGTTATTTCTATTTCTATTCTATTATTTCTATTTCTATTCTATTCTAGAAAAGAATGCAAAAATCGCTGCTCAGTATTAAACAACCAAGAAGCCTGTGTTAGCGGGCAATGCACACTCAATGAAAATAGGAAGAATAAAAAGAGATGCTATCTTCCTAGATTTACAGATTCACTGGATTGTGACTGTAGCCCCGTGACAAAGAGATGACAGCTGCTTGGGGGAAAACGTCTTTGAGAAATCCAGTCAAAATATCAAAGTGGAGAGACATCCCCTGACAGCAAAGATATGGACGGTCAGGCTTATGATTTTCCCAGTTGTAACAGAGCTTTCTAAATGCCAGATCATCAGAAAGGCTGAATGAAGTGGAACTGAAGCTTTTGACTGCAAGGCTGGAAAAAGAATGGCTGAGAATATTTTGGACTCCAAGAAGAATAAAAAAGAGTCAAAAATAAATGGACAAGTCAACAGCTGAACAACAGGAGGCACCTTCCAGTTGAATCTCAAAGGTGTTTTTTCTTTTTCAAGAAGCAATTGGACTTTCTTGTTTTTTTCTTTTGAAGACATTTTGCTTTTCGTCCAAGAAGCTTCTTCAGCTCTGCCAGGATAGTGGGGAATGGAAGGATTCCCCGTGGGAGTAGGAATGGATTTCCAGAGCGATTAAAAATTGCAGACTACAAGAACCAGGAGCATCATTCAGGTGCCCTTGAGGACACAAATAAACCTCCAAATACTTCAACAACCCTCTAAAAGGATGCAAAGGACAAGCTGTCTGCAAGGAATATAAATCCTTCCATTCCCCACTATCCTGGCAGAGCTGAAGAAGCTTCTAGGATGAGAAGCGAAACATCTTCAAAAAAAAAAAAAAAAACCAAGAAAATTGAGTTGCCCCCTGAAAAAAGCACCTTTGGGCCAACCATGACTTGGATCTCCATAGACATATGCTGCATGCAACTACTATTTATGGAGTGTCCTAAATGATGAGATTGCATTGTGCGTCTTTGATCTTTGCATCAAACACACTTTTTCCATTATGTGTATCTTCCCAAATTGCTACGAAATGCATATCTTCCTGGGATCAAGTCTCATTAAACACAATGAGAGTAACCTTCGTTAACTGCATGCATTTCATTTTGTATTAGATTTCTGATTCCATAATATTCATTTTTAAGTTCCATACAATGAATGAACCTGGCATGTTAAGTGGGAGATAATGGAAATTGAAATTTAACACCTGTGGAAGGGGTATGTAGAATGAATTCACAGGATAATGTTGTATACCAATAGAACAAAATATATGTAGCTCAGGGTTGAAGCATGAGGTCAAAAATCACCAAGGACCACACAAAGTGTTTTCTAATGTCCACCGTTTGTAGTATTATTGAACTAAGACATTGTTTGAAGAATGAATATTTGTATTGATGTATTGCTTGCTCCATATCATTTCAAGTATTTGAAATAAGATGTGTATACATTCAGTAGGGAGCAATGAGAAAATATCTATTCCTATCAAACTGGAATATTCCACTAGAACAGGGGTGTCAAACTCAAGGCCCAGGGGCCAGTTGCAGCCTGAGAGGTGCTTAGATCTGTTTCTTAGACCCTAGAAACAGTGAAGGACTGACACCCCCCCCCCCCCCAGTCCCTCTGCCAGTGAAAACAGAGCTTGGGAGCCCACAGAGGCCGTTGCAGCTGAAACGGAGCTTGGGAGCCCATTTTCACTGGCCACCAAAGACACCCCTGACATGAGTGACATCAAACTGGCCACACCCACCCCAGCCCCACTCAACACAACCCTGATGTGGCCCTCAATGAAATTGAATTTGACACTCCTGCACTAGAATATAAAAAAGGTATAATTTAACTGAACAGACTGCAACAGCGTCAGTGATATTTGATGGAAATATATTTATTTGTTTACATACAAATGAATAAACATGGATTGGGACATGCATTTTTTATAGCAGGGGTTTCCAAAGTTGACAGCTTTTAAGATTTCTGGACTTCAACCAGCATAGCTGGCTGGGGTATTCTGGGATTTGAAATCCAGAAGTCTTAAACTTACCAGGTTTGAAGTCCCCGTATGATACCCACGCTTATTGATTTTATGAAAGAAATTTGAGATGCTTGTTTATCGGCACAGATCTCCTGATCTGAGCTGGAACTTCATGATTTTGAAAACAGTTTTCCTGGTCCCAAAGGTCTCGTCCCAACCCCGTGTCACTGTCTGTATCCTCTTCTAGGTCATCTGCACCCAATCCGAAGAGTACAATAGCCGCCAAGCACTTTGTAATGGAACAAACGAAGGGCCTGTCCTTCGAAATCCGGGGAACCACGACCAAAGAAGAACGCCTCGGCTTCCAACTTCAGCTGACGTTGAATTTTGCTTAAGTCTGACGCAATATGAAACTGGGACGATGGATAAGATGGCTAACTTCAGTTTCCGGAACACTTTGGAGGGTAAGGTTTGCCCATCTTTTCATGATTTCTAATGCAATATTGTGTGTCACTGTTACAGGCAGTCCTCGTTTATATTTCGACACACGTTCTGTATGCTGATCTTTGGGAATTTTCACATTTTATGTGTGTATGTATCTTCGTGAACTTTGAACACACGAATACTGCAATGCTATGTGGCATTACCTGCATTTGGACTACTTTATAATTAGGAAAATGTACCTGCACAATAATTGGAATTGTCTGAAACACAACTGCTATGTGAGTTAGTTCATAAGGCAAGAGGTAAAATTGACTGAGAAGGTCAGAGGGAACACTTACCAGAAACTTCAATGTTCTAGAACAGGGATGTCAAACTCAAGGGCCGTGGAGTGCTTAAATCTGGCCTGCGGGGCAGGACTGGAAATACCGTGTTTCTCCAACAATACGGCCTCCACCAATAGGAAGGCCCAGCATGATTTCTAGGCATGAGGTGAAATTAAGCCCCTCCCTCCAAATTTAGGCCTATTTAAACCATGCGTTTCCCCACTATTTCTCACATCGTTTGTTAGAACTACATAAGGTGAAGAGAAATGGGGGGGGGGAGGGAAGTGGGGAGAAAACTTGCCATTAGGAGCACCATGCAGGTAGCCTAGGCTAGAATATCCTGATCTACTGCCGATAGAACATCAGCCGATAGAAGCTCCCTGAAGGCAGAGTCACCAGCTGCTTCTATCGGCCGGTAGAAGCAACTTTGGGGCAAGTGCCCATGCGCACTCGCTTTACCACGAGGCCGTTTCTATTGGCCAATGGAAGCTCCCCAAAGGCAGAGTCACCAGCTGCTTCTATTGGCCGGTAGAAGCGGTCTCGGGGCGAGTGCTTGTGCATGCTCCCCTCGCCACGAGGCCATTTCTATCGGCCGATGGAAGCTCCTCAAAGGCAGAGTGACCAGCTGTTTCTATCGGCCGGTAGAAGCGGCTGGTGACTGCCTTTGGGAAGCTTCCATCGGCCGATAGAAATGGTCTCGTGGTGAGGGGAGGTTGCATTAGTTGTCTTTGAATCTACCAGCGGGGCAGGAGAGAAAGCACACGCGTATCTGTGTCTGTATAGAAATTGTGAGATTGTGACGGAGGGAATGGGAGAAAAGGCCTTAGCCCAAATGTGTTCTTGTTTTGCTTTCTTGCCCATTCTCTGATCAATCTCTCCGGGGCAGCTTTTTGGCCTAAAATCGCCCAGGTCTCCCTCAGTTAAAGGAGAGGGGAGGTCTCCAAAGACCGTCCCTAACCTCCGCCATTTGAGAGGACCGAACTCATTGCTTCTCAAAATTAGACCCGCAAGTTTTTCAAAAGTTCTTCTGAATGCCTCGGACGTCTGATGAAATCCAGAAATGTCTCGTGATTGAACTCAATCAAAAAAAGAAAGAAAGAAAAAGAACCTGCACCTCGTCGCCAAATCCCTGGTTTTACGGCTCCTCTCTCATCCCGAATTATGCCGAAATAAGGGATTCCGGGGCTGGCGTTGGTTAATTGATTAATGATGGGCGCCCTTTCAGGCGCTCAGAGAGAGAGAGAGAGAGAGAGAGAGAGAAGGAGGTGTCGCTCAAGTTCTCAGATTCCCCCCAACTGTTAGCAGCACCATCCCTGAGCTGTGGCAGGGTTGCCTGGGATCATGTGCAGAGTGCCTTCACTGTTCAACTCCACCCCCCACGACTCAAGAGTCATACTAAAATTAGGCCTTTCCAACCAGCCCCTGCAAATATTCGGCCCTCACCAGAGCAATAGAAAGGATGGTTTAGGTTCTCCCCGGCCCTTCTTCGCTCCAGCTCCCTCCCGCCCTCCTGTGCCACCGCGGCGACCCTTTGACACTCACCCCGCTTCCCCGCCGCATTCCCACGAGGACTGCTCCCACGTCTCCTTTCAGGAGCCCGCCTGATCTCCCTTCTAAGGGTAGCCAAGCTCGGCTGCCTCCTCTTCCCTCCCCGGCACCCCCCTTGCTCCCCAAACCAGCGGCAGCAGAAGGTAAAGGGAGATTGGCTACCCTGGGACTTTGGCAGGGTCCCCGGAAAAGGTCTGGCCTGGGGAGGGGAGGGCGGCGGTGGGAACCCCGCAGATGTTGAGACCTTCCCTCGCCAGAAGGGCTTGGCTGACCCGGTGCAGGGACAAGGGCTAGCAGGGGTAGTGTGTGTGTGTGTGTGTGAGAGAGAGAGAGAGAGAGAGACAGAGAGAGAGAAAAAAACCTCAGCTTGCTTCCCTTCTGCTAAGAAAAGTTTGCAGCCATTCTCCCATGCGCACTCCCCTCGCCACAAAGCCATTTCTACCAGCCGATGGAAGCGGCTGGTGACTCTGCCTTTTGGGAGCTTCCATCGGCTGATAGAAACGGCCTTGAGGGGAGTGCGCGTGGGGCACCCCTCTCAGGAGCACCCTGCAGGCAGCCATGCCTCACCCCAAAGCAGCTGGTGACTCTGTCTTTGGGGAGCTTCCATCGGCTGATAGAAACAGCTTCGTGGCGAGGTGAGTGCACGTGGGTGCTCGCCCCGAGGCCGCTTCTACTGGCCAATAGAAGTGGCTGGTGACTCTACCTTTTGGGAGCTTTCAGTGGTGGCCTCATGGAGAGGTGAGTGCACATGGGGCACTCTAGGTGGAGGTGCACATGGGGTAAGAAATTAAGTCACCCCTCAAAAGGCATCCTATCCGTTTTTTCGGGGCTCAAAAAAAAAAAAAAGGACCCAGCCTTACTTTATGAGAAACACGGTAGCAAAGGACCAGCCCATGGTGTCTCTGGCAGCCAAAACACCCGCCCCACAACCAGCCCATGGAGGAGAAGTACAATGCTGATCCAGCCCTCGAAGAAATCCAGTTTGACACCCCTGTTCTAGAAATTCAATGTAAAGGTAAAGGTTCTCTGGAGAAATAGTAAAGAATCTACTCTCTTCACATGATAATCCTTCAGTTATTTGTTTAGGGAAAGAAGTGGCAGAACCTGAAGGCAGAGTTAAATGAGGAATCAGCCTAGAATCTCTATGTAGCCACAAGCAGACTAAGTCTAACCAACCCCTTTGAATTCTGTTGACCTTTATCTAACTCTTAGTAGGTGCTAATTATTAGCTGAGAACATTCCTGTGCATAGGCATGAGTAGCAATAAATCAATTTAATTAGATCTTCGCAGGATCAGCAGACTTGAATCCTTCATCCTTGATCATTTGAAGTCCAATGACCCATTTTCCTTCAGCTATCTTCTCTGTAGGTTAAATATACCCAGCTCCTTTAACTCTTCCTCAAAGGTCTTTTTTTCCCCAAATCCTTCACCTTCTTATTGCTGTCTTTTTTGAACTAATGCAGCCAGATTGGACACAGTACTTTAAATGCACTAATCCCATGTATTATACTTGCTTATTTTGTGCAGCTGTGTATTCACTGCACAATAGAAACATTTAAAATGTTTTTGCTTTGCTCGCCAAACAGGACTACATTGTGTACCTTTGCAAATATTCCATCTCCGCGAAATAAATAACTTTAAATATCAGCTTCCAGTACAAATCCGTGCCCTTAAAGTTGTTTGGAACAAACGGTTATCTGTTCTTCGCTTCTATTTACTTACGTGAAATTAACATAATTTTTTTTGAAAAAAATATTCTCAGTAATAAATGTAATTTTCGTGGAAATGCTAATAATGGTTATACAATTGTAGTCTATATGTTTGCCAGCAATCTCTCAGAAGATTTTGCAAAAGTCACTTTTAGGCAAATAAAACCAAAGTAAAACCCAGCTCGCCACAACTTTCTTAGATAATCAAATCAGCGTTTTGGGTTTTCCTCCTCCTTTAGCAATGTATAGGTAATCCTCAATTTATGACCACAATTGATTCCAAGATTTCTGTTGCTAAACCAGGCAGTTGTTAAGTGAGTTGCACCCCATTTTATAACTTTTTTTGCCACAGTTGCTAAATGAATCACTGCAGTTTTAAGTGAACCATACAGTTGTTAAGTAATATGACTTTCCCTATTGACTATGCTTGCCAGAAGCCAACTGGGAAGCTAACAAATGGTGATCACATGACCAAGGGACAATGCAACTGTCATAAGTACATGCCAGTTGCCAAGAGCACCAATTTTGATCACGTGACTGTTGGAAGAAATATCCTTCTGGGTTCAGTTTCAAGTGGGGAAAAAAGACACTGGATTCATGGAAGTTGCTTGGAAAGAAGGTTTAATGGTGGACAGGACCACATGCCTTGGAGCTCCTGAGCGACAAGGGAAGAGATGCTGAGAGTCCCTTGATTTTATACCCTCTGTTGGGCCCCACCTTAGTGATCCCTGTTCCTGTGTAAGAAATGTATCCCATTGGCTGTCAGACTCCCAGGGAGCGGGGGGGTCTTGGCTAACTTTGTAGGCTTTGTCTGGACCACATGGCTTCACCTGAGTGCTGTCTGATGCAATCTTCCCAGGCCAGGTGGTGAGATTGGTAGAGGCCTTGGTTATATAGAATACCCTGGCCAAGGCCTTAATGGCCTGCCCTTTAACAAACGTGGGGGTGAACTTCTGAGGTGAGTTTTGCTTCTGAGTTTCTATTTCTCTTTTTAGGCGAAATATTCTGTCTTTTTAGTATATCCTAAAATATTTCATTTTCCTAGGAAAGGGGTGGGTGCTAACTTCCTAAATGACCATGAAAATACTGCAATGGTCGTGAGTGGGAAAACCAGCGGTAAGTCACTCTTTTTCCAGCGTTGTTGTAGCTCTTAAATGGTCACGAAACGAATGGTTGTAAGTCAAGGACTACCTGTACTTCAGTTGCCTCCAATCTGTTCTTATATTTGTAGATATATTTGAGGCTTCGGTTTCCAAAATTCTGAGTCAGAATGGATGGATGAAAATATCCACTCCAGTTTATTCTTTGTCTGTTAATATATACAAAATAGGAGAAAGAAGGTTGGATTTGCTCACTACCTTGAGTTATTTTTTAAAAATAACAAAGGTGGAATACAAATAAATTTTTTAAAAATATAAATAAGTGAACAATTATGAACA